TGTGGTAGGAAGACAATATTTTCAGGGGAAAGAGGCCCGGGCGTGACTTGGGCTGATGAAATACGGCACTGTCTGTGCTAAGTCCAGCTGACAGAGACCCACGCTTTGCAAAGTGTCCCCATAAGAAGACGAAGTTGATTGAGAGCTGCAGAAACATCCAGAACTCTCCTTCTGACGAGGCTTGCTATGGGCGTGTGATGGAACCCAGAGGCAGTACTCTGATCTCCTTTTTTCTTTTCTTTTCTTTTCTTTTTTTTTCTTTCTTTCTTTCTTTCTTTCTTTCTTTTTTTTTTTTTGCTTTAAGATCTCAAAGGGGGAAAAAAAAGTCACTGGTGCCACTTTGATTTATTCCGCATGTTGCTCCTTCTCATAAACTTTGGGGAAAAAAAAAAACCACTGTTAAATGCGAACATCAGGTGCGGGCGGCTTTGTTAGGGGGGAACGGATCGTTTTCAAATAAACCCAGCTGGGAAAATGACCTTGTATTCTTTCTCTGTCTTTTAAGAAATGAAAGAGGCATTTCTAAGCAAGGCTGGCAAATGCTGTCCTGTCCAGCATGGTTTTGAAGATTTATTTCTCCTAGAGCAGTTAATGATTAACGTCACGCCTGGTGCCCCAATGAACCACTTTTCTCCTCCAGACTCTAGTGGCCATTGGTCCAGGAACAATGAACTTGGGGAGGTTTTCTGCAAGAACTGGGCTTGGGGTTGGGGGAAGATTGTTCAGTTCTGTTTCTCTTCGTCAAAAGTGGCATCAGAGCTTGGGAAAGTACAAAATTTGTGGGGTTTTCTCCTGATCTTTTCTCTCTCTCTCTCTCTCTCTCTCTCTCTCTCTTGCTTTTTGGGTCACACCCGGCAATGCACAGGGGTTTCTCCTGACTCATGCACTCAGGAATTACTCCTGGCAGTGTTCAGGGACCATATGGGATGCTGGGAATCGAACCTGGGTGGGCCGCATGCAAGGCAAACGCCCTACCCTCTGTGCTATTGATAAAGCCCCTCACTTCTGATCTTTCTGGGGCCGAAGAAGTAAGAGAAGCATGCAGTATCTGTGTCTGTGGGTTAGTGATTTTTATTGCGTTTTATTTACTTCTTACTTTGTTGTTGTTGTTGTTTTGGTGCCCCCTAAGCAGTGTTCAGGGTAACCTGGGCAGTGATTTAACATGTGGACCCCCGCCGTGCCAGGGATTATCTGGCCATGCTCTGGGAACATTTGGTTTATTTTTTTTCACTGAAGGCAGCGCCTTTTCTGTGTTGCTCAGCTCGGTTTTCTGTCTCTCATAATTATTTTCTTGTGGCTGTAACAAGGGGATCAGGATCTTCTTTTAAGAAGTTATTAGGTTGTGTCATTGAATCTCAATCCTTGAAATTTCCTTTTTGTTGTTATTTATTTGGATAGACTTTTGATGATGCTTGAGTTAGTGTGATAATTAATTGCCTTTAATGACGCTCTAATTGCCTTTAATGAACTGTAATGGTATGATAGCATATCTCTCTTTTAATGTTTTTTTTTTTTCCATGCAGGGTTACCTCCATCAGCATCTAGTTCTCTCCTTACTTGTATCTTGCAAAAGCTGAGTGAGAGGTGAGGCAGGTGCATGTAGGAATTTGAGAGGACCTTCTTGCTTTGGGTTTGTTTAAATGGCAACTGGGGAGCTCCTTTTCACTGGTAACAAAGATTTTCCTTTGTGTTTATTTTATCTGAGAGCCTTAGGTTTGTTTTATCTGAGAGTAGATTTATATCTGCTGCCTGAATTTGCATCTGGATGATGTTATCCAGATATTCATCAATTGTGAGATTTCTCATTGTACAGAGCACTGGAGTTCTCATTCAGGGATCAGGATATATCTTACTGTATAGAGCATGGTCTGATTGATTAATCAGATGGATTAATCAAATATGATGGGAATTGTTGAAACTAGGCTGTGTGTTCAGTTGGATTTCTACCATGAGACTCAACTTCTAGGAACCAAGTACAGCTCACTGTGTTTAGTCAGTAACTAACCCCCAATTCCTGGAGCCAGCTTGAGCTCCAGGAATTGGAAACTATAAAGTGAATTTAGAATCTTATTAAATACTACTGTAGCACAGTAGCATTGTCACCCCATTGTTCATCGATTTGCTCGAGTGGGCACCAGTAACGTCTCCATTGTGAGACTTGTTGTTACTGTTTTTGGCATATTGAATATGCCACAGGTAGCTTGCCAGGCTCTGCCGTGCAGGCGGGATACTCTCAGTAGCTTGCCAGGCTGTCCAAGAGGGACGGAGGAATTGAACCCGGGTCGGCTGTGTGCAAGACAAACGCCCTACCCGCTATGCTATCGCTCCAGTCCCTTATCAAATACATAGGGAGAAAACCAAGAAGATTCGTAATAATAAAAGGGATGCTCAAAGGCTTGATGTCGGTTGCTGCCAAGGAATTTTTTCTTTCTTTTTTTTATAATTTTTTTTTTGGGTCACATCCGGCTTTGCAAAGGAGTTGCTTTTGGCTAATGCACTCAGAAATTACTCCTGGCTGTATTCGGGGGACCATATGGTCGGCCATGTGCAAGGCAAACACCCTACCTGCTGTACTAGCATTCCAGCCCCCAAGCAATTTTTTCTCATTTTATTTTATTTTTTTCATTCTGTAAGTGGTGAGGAATGGATCTAGATTTTAGATCTTGACTGTGTAGAGGAAAATGATTCAATTAAGTATTGTACGGGGCCATGATAATAAGCCCAGTTCTGTTAATGGATTTCTTAAATGACTTACTTTTAAAATGAGACAATGTCGATTGACTCTGAAAAGTCTCCTGCTAACAGCTCCTCAAGGCATTGTGGCCTTCCACACGTGTTTTCTCAGGAAGCTTGTACCAGTTACACTTGGGAATATCAAAGTCAGATATAAAGAGACCCTGGAGGCTGCTTTGGAGAGCGGAGGGATGACCTAGAAGCTGCTTTTTTTTTTTTCTTTTTTGGGTTACACCTAGCTATGCTCAGGGGTTACTCCTGCCTCATGCACTCAGGAATTACTCCTGGCGTGCTCAGGGGACCATATGGGATGCTGGAAATAAAACCAGGGTCAGCTGCTTGCAAGGCAGACGCCCTACTTGCCGTGCTATCACTCCAGCCCTCAAGTTGCTTTTTTGTGTAGGGGTGGGGATTGGGTTCTGGGCTATACCTAACAGTTTGGAGGCTGCTCCTGGTAGGGAATAAATCCGGCTAATTGCATGCAAGTCCTTCCCTACCTCTCCCACCCTATAAACTGCTTGGTCACAGCTCTTCATCTTGACATTCCCCTCCCCCATTTTCTCTGAACTCTTCCATCTCGGATAGTCTTCAATGATAGAATTGTGGAAATAGCTCTGCCCTGGGAGTTTGAAGACCTGGTTTCTCTGTCTCATGGGGTCATGGTGTGGGATCTCCTGCAGGGAGTGGCAATAGTTGAATTCTTCAGGTTTTTTTGTTTGTTTGTTTTTTCTTTTTGTGTCACACCTAGCTATGCCCAGGGGTTACTCCTGGCTCTGCACTTGGAATCACTCCTGGCGGTGCTCTGGGACCATATGGGATGCTGGGAATCAAACCCGGGTAATGCAAGGCAAACACCCTTCCCGCTATACTATCACTCCAGCCCCTCAATCTTTTTGTTTTTTTAGCTCTGAGATCTCTGGGATCTCTGTCCAGGCTCCAGCCCAGGCAGGTCTGTGTCAGCTCTGTCGTGATTCCACACATTAGAGAAAAAGTGGAATTGGGAGCATTCTAATCACTTCTACTGTGGTTTTCTGGAAGAGCGAAGAACCCTGGCATTTCTTTAGCTGGGCAAAAGCCTAGGCCCTTAAGATCGTTCTCTCACTCTGCTTTCTGAGCTAGCCTGTCTCCATCCTTTTTAACTCCTCAACAAAAGTGCCTGAGCCAAGCTATCTTGTGTTTTCAGCACAGAGAAGATCACATCACTAACATTTCCATCTGGCCCCACAGAATGTGATAGTCTCCCTGTAGGAGCTTATCTGTTATCTGTAACTTTCTTGGAAGAGGGCACACGTAAAGAAATAATACGTTGCCCCTCCTGTAGGTGTTCAAGTCTCTGTCAGGTGGCTGAAGACGTGCATCTCAGAACAACAGGAAATACTTTTTAGCCTTACCTCCCGGGTCAATTGCTCACTGAGTAATTTAAAATAGTGGTATACTGAGGTAGGAGAAAACTCTATGAGCAGCAGCATGGACTGTGTACCACCTTGTGTACAAGACAGAGCATATCAACTTGAAGAATAAACTCTTGGCAGGGAGGAAAGGGCAGATCTTCGAGGTAGAGAGAATTGGCATTTTGTTTTGTTTTGTTTTGGGTCATTCCTGCTGGTACTGGAGTGAGGAGTAATGCTTAGCTGGGTGCTCGGGAATTGTACCCAGTGATACTTGATTTTTTTAATCTTTTAAAAAAATTTATTTATTTTGCTTTTTGGGTCACATCCAGCGATGCTCAGGGGTTACTCCTGGCTCTGCACTCATGAATTACTCCTGGTGATGCTTGAGGGACCATATGGGATGCTGGGGATTGAACTCAGGTCGGCTGCATGCAAGGCAAACTTGCATGCACTGTACTATCCTCATTGTACTATAGGTCCGGCCCCAAACCCAGTGATACTTGAGAGACCCCAAACCCAGTGATACTTCAGGTACCCAGGGATCAAACCGACACCTTCAGCAAGCAAAACATGTGCTCCAATCCTTTGATCCATCTCCTTAATCCCAATAGTTGGCCCTTCATTCTTATGACTTCACCCTAGGCTGGTGTAAAACTTCACCTATGACCATTGTCTGGACTTGGGAAACTCAGGCTGAGGGTCAGGGTGTTATTTCTCAGCCTTCCTATCTAAGAAGTGGGGAATCTGTGGGTAGAGATGATTTCCAGGTTAACACTGCACCCCAGGTGAGCCCTTTTGGCTGTGCTACCATCTCTGCTCCTCTTCTCAATCTCTGCTTTAGACCTTAACTCTGTACCCTTATGTTTTTCCCTATAGGCAAGAAGCGAAACCCTGGCCTTAAAATTCCCAAAGAAGCATTTGAACAACCTCAGACCAGTTCCACGTAAGTTGTCGAGATGATTGTTGTTATCCAATTACCTGCACTTGACAGATTTCCATGGAATGGGAGGTTCATTGTGAATTGGTGAGCGATGCTCTCTCTAAGGAAATAGTTGTTAGGAGTAGTTAGGAAGAAGAGTCCTTGGGAAGAGGAAGTCACGTGCTCACTCTTCTGAAACTTGACTTGATCACACAAGGCTACTCTTCTTGAATGAAGGGGGATCTCTGCTTCACACTATTGGTTGGCAGAACATTGAGTGTCCCCAATATATTTGTCAGATGGTGCCTTCAGGAAGCTCAGAAAGATCCTGGATACAGAATTTATTTCCTTTCCCATCTAGATGTTATTAAATAAGCAGATTTTCCTCAAGAGCCACTACTATAACACTTAGGTTGAAATAGAAAGATGGTTCTGGTCAAGTTCTCAGCAACTTGATGCTCGAATCCTATCCTATAAAAAAACAGAGGCAAAATGGAGTAGAGAAAAGCTCCCTTAATAGCTAAAGCTTTGGTCCAGATCCTTATGTCCAGCTCAGGTCCTGCTGAAGCAGGATCCACTCTCCCTTCAGACTCCCTCCCTTTTCCTTGTTGCTCTATGGGATGTGTAATATATTCTCCTGCCATCTGGAACAATGACCACCTCTCTGAGCATCTCCAGGTGAGGAATGGAAATTCCAAAGAATCACCACAGAAGTCCTAAGCAGGCAGGGCAAGAACACAGAGTGGCCATCCCAATGGAAGGATAGCATTTTGTCATCTCTATCAGCGTGCCTTCCTTTGCACACAGGCTTTGTTCTTATAATCATGAAGCATCCTATTAGAAAGGGCACCCTCTGATGTTGGAAGGTGCTAGTGAAAATGATTGTGTCCTGCAGGACATTTTCTTTTTAATTAAAAAATTTTTTTTAATTGAATCACCATGAGATACAGTTACAAAGTTTTCATGTTTGAGTTTCAGTCATTGTATGACTGAACACCTATCCCTCCTTCAGTGTGCATTTGCCACCACCAATGTCCCCAGTATCCCCGTGCCCCCTACCCCCCCAATCCCAACCCTCCCCCTGCCCCTATGGCAGACAATTTTCCCCATACTCTTTCTCTACTGTTGGGCATTGTAGTTTGCAGTATAGATACTGAGAGGCTATCACGTTTTTTTTTTTTTTTTAATATACTTTCAGCACACAGTAGCCAGGATCTGGAAATATTCTGGGTTCCCGAGAACAGACGACTGGCTAAAGAAACTTTGGTACATCTACACAATGGAGTACTATGCAGCTGTTAGGAAAGAGGAAGTCATGAAATTTGCTTATAATTGGATGGTCACGGAGAGTATCATGCTAAGTGAAATGAGTCAGAAAGAAAGAGACAAACATAGAGTGTCCTGCAAGATTTTGCTGAGAGCAATGAAAATGCTCAACAGTCCTTGTAATTTATCAGCTGGCTTTCTGCAGAAGAGCCTTGAAGTACAGTGTTCAGAAGAGGGGTATTCTTTAGGGTCCTGCTCTTCCCTCCAGGGCAACACACAAGTTAGAGCTTCCATTTGTGAAAGTCTTAGGAGGAAATTTATAAAGAAATAGAAAATTATTATACTTCAAGTCAATGTTATAATAGTGCTAATTTATAAATTAGCATGTTATTTTTCTTTTATCATTTAAATTTGATGAAGTGAAGCCCGTCAGATGTACTCAGTTACCACATCTCACCACCACTGAAGTGATTGAACCATCCATCAATGTCCTTATGTTACCTGCAGGAAGAAATTCATTCCACATCTACATATTGAGATCACTTTTTTGGGGGGGGTAAGGGTTGTTGAGGGGAGGTGTCCCTCTTTTTAATTTTGGTAGGCTTATTAATTTGTCATTAATTAATCATTCTTCTGTGATTATCTTTGGGAGTTCAGAAGCAAATATGTGCCTTCCCTGTTCCAAAGTCCCATGTAGGACTTTATATGTGATCTAATGACTTTATTTTGAAATGACTGCAGATTCATAGAAAGTTGCAAAAAAAGAGAAAAGGACCATGTATCCTTTAAGTAGTGAGTGCCCTTCTCCTTAATCCTAACATCTTATATAAATAAGACTAAATGTTCAAAATCCATAAATTGTCTTTGGTGGAGACCAGTTTCTACCAACACTACAAGCACACATGTATGTGCACATATGTGTACGATTTTACCACATGTTTTGTCTTATGTAGCCACCACCATCATCCAGATCATCAATGTTATCAACATTATAGTTCTCTTTAGAGTTATTGCCTTATAGCCACACACACCTGAATACCCCCACCCCATGCCCTGTTGATCGCAGGCTCTTATAAACAATCTCTCTTCTCCATTTCCATTTTGCTCTTTCATGATTGTTTTATAAATGGAATCATACATCTCCTTTTTGAGATTGGATTTTCCGTTCAACATAATTTCCTTGAGGTTCCTATAAGTGGTGGCAAGTATCCAGCACCCATAGTGTGTTCCTTGTTATTGATGAATGGCACCTTGGTATGGACATACCACTGTTGATTTAACTCTTTAGCTTTCAAAGGAGATTTGGGCAGTTTCCACGAAAGGGTTGTTATGAATAAAGATACTATGCATGTCAGTGTTTACATTTCTGTGTGAAAACAAGGCTTTATTTCTCTGGGACATATATCAAATAGTTCCATTGCTTGGCCTATAGCAAGTTCCATAGCAAGTTCTATTTTAGCTTTGGAAGAACTGCCAGAGTATTCTCCAGAGTGAATACATCATTTTACATTCTTACTAACCACATCTAATCATTCCGTTTCGTATATTTTTGCTATATGATCACTATGCCTATTTTATTTTCACCATTCTGACGGATGCAGTGATACACATGCCCATTTTAATCTTCCTTCATCTGATGTCTAATAGTGCTGAACACTTTATGGTGTTTCTTTTTATCCACAGATGAAATGTGTGTTCACCTCCTTGGTGACATATGTGTTCAAACTTTGCTTTTTGTTTGTTTCTTTTGTTTGGGCACCTTACCTGGTGGTGCTCAGGGTTTACTCCTGGTTCTGTGTGCAAGGATCACTTTTTGGCAGATTTGGGGGACCATCTAGGGTACCAGGGTTCACCCAGATTAGCCGCATATAAGGCAAGCACCCTTACCCCCTGTACTATTGCTCCAGCCCCACTTAGCCTTTTTTCTAATCAGATGATTTTGACATCGCTTGAGTGTTCTTTATGCCTTTGGAACACACACATTTTCTCAAATATATGATTTAAAATCCCATTTTCCTCAGTAAGTCATTATCCTTTTATCCTTTAATTTTGATGAAATGAAATCAGTCATGTTGACGGATCATGCTCCTGCTGACAAGAACTCTTCCCTAATCCTAGGTCCTGGAGGTATTTTCCCCCATAACTTCTTTTCTAGAAGTTCTATTATTTTGCATTTTAGGCTCACATCCTGGGTACATTTTGAGCTTAGTTCTTGTACAAGGTGGATGGTGTAGGTCTATTCATTTTCCCCATTACTTTCCAATGACTCTAGCACCATTTGTTGGAAAAACTGCTCTTTCCCTGGTGATTTGCTTTTGTTCCTTTGTCAGCATGAATGGGGCTTGTGCCTTTGGATCTATTTCTGGGTTCTTTGTTCTGTCAGTGCCGCACCACCTTGATTATAGCGGTTCTATATATTAAGTCTGACATTAGGAAAAGTGAGTCCTTCCTTTCAGTTCTTTTTTTAAAAAATGATTTTTGAGGTTATACCTGACTGTGCTCAGGGCTTATTTCTGTCTCTGTGCTCAAGGGTCATTTCTAGAGTGTCCAAGGGGACAATTTGCAGTGCCCCAGGAATTGAATTGGGCAAGGCAAAGCACCTTGACCCCTGGAATATTTCTGTACGCTTTCTGTTTTTCAAAAAGATTTCATGATTCTAGGACTTTACCTTTTCCCAGAAGTTGAAGACTTAGTTTGTTTCTATCTATAGAACATCTTCCTCATTTGGGATAGGAACTATATTAATTTATAGATCATCTTAGGGAGATCTATTATGTTTTTGTCTCAATTCATGAACAAGGTAGAGTTAGCCCAATATTGAAAATTTTTAAATTTCTTGCACTGGGGCCAGAGAGATAGCTCAAATACTGAATGCATGCTTCGAATGTGGAAGGCTTTGTTTTTTCTCTAGCATCACAGGATCCCCTGAGCATGCTTGGGACTGATCCCTGAGCAATGAACCAGACTGGCTCCTGAGTCCTGCCAGGAGTGTCCTTCCCTCAGTTTTTTCTTTCAATAATATTTTTTAGTTTTTATGATCCAGATTCTCTACACTGTGTTTAATATGTATGCATCAATATTTTCTTTTAAAAAGTAATCATAAATGGCATTCTTTTTTTTTTTGGTTTTTGTTTCCATTAATTTTTTTTATTAGCATCTAGAAATGCAACTGAGTTTCATGTGTCAGTCTATGATTTTTGAACTTTTCCACTTTGCTTAGTAATTATGGAGTTTTTCTGTATATTCTTTAGAGTTTGGTATATAGACAATCAAATCTTCTTCCAATAGAGACAGCAGCATTTCTTTCTTTCTAAAGTGTATTTATGTAAAAATTTTATTTTTTTTACCTTATTTCAGTGGTTAGAATGTCCAGTATTACTATAAATAAGATTGTGAAAAAAAGGCCTCCTTTCTTCTTCTCCAACTTAGAGAAAAAGTGTTCAATCTTTAACCATTAAGTGTGATGTTAGATTTTCATTTGTTTGGTGTTTTTTTGTTTGGGGGCCATACTCACTTGTGTTCAGGGGTTACTCCCAGCTTTGTGATCAGAGGTCACTTCTGGCAAGGTTGGGGGGACTATATGTGGTGCTAAGGATTGAACCTGGGTCAGCCAAGTGTAAGGCAAATAATATCACTCCAGCCCCATGATTTTAGGTTCTGTAGACATTATTTATGAAGTTGAAATTCCTCTCATGGTGATCTATTGAAAATGTTTAGCATGCATATGTGTTGAATTTTGTGTTGGTATGATCATAGTTCCTTTTTACTATTCCCATGAGATACATAAACTGATTTTGATTTTTAAATGATTTTTGTTTCTATTTTCTGTGTTCTTTAAATTTTTGCTCGAGGTAAAGGTAAAGGCCCTCCCGTTGATCGTCGATTTGCTCGAGCGGGCCCAGTAACGTCTCCATTGGAGACTTTGTTGTTACTGTGTCTGGCATATCCAATACTCTCGGTAGCTTGCCGGGCTCTCCGAGAGGGGCGGAGGAATCGAACTCGGGTCGGCCATGTTGGCCGCTTGTAAGGCGAACGCCCTACCCACTGTGCTATCGCTCCAGCCCTTTAAATTTTTACTGTGATTTATTTTTCAATTATATTTAGACTGATTTTTACACTTGTTTTGCATGCCCAAAGTAAACTCCACTTAGTTGTGATATGTCTTTTCTTATACAAAGTTATTTGGCCTAGTAAAATTGTGAGAATTTTAGTGCCTAAGATTGGTGCTTGCTTTAATTTTTGTTTTGGGTATACCCAAAAGGCAATGCTGGTCTCATAAAATGAGTTAGTAAGAATTCTTTCTATTTTCTAGTGGACATTAATATTTTATTTTTTGGAAAAAGATATTTGCTTAAGTTCTTTGGTGAAGCAACATTGGCCCAGGCATTTATTTTTCTCTGTAGCTTTTATATTACAAATTAATTTTCTTTAAAAGTTGGTTATAGGATTATTTAGATGATCTGTTTCATCACAGCTAAGTTTTGATACCTTAAGTTTTCAAGAATTCCAGTTCCTCTGGGAAACGAACACCTAAGAATAGTTAAGTACCAGGGGGCCTGCTCCACGGCTTGGAAGCTGGCAGCACATGCTGGGGGAAAACACAGCTCAGATAGAGAAGGGAACACCAAGTAAAGGATGTTTGGAGGACTCGCTTGGGATGCGAGATGCGTGCTGAGAGTAGACTATGGACCGAACATGATGGCCACTCAATACCTCTATTGCAAACCACAACACCCTGAAGGAAAAAGAGAGCAAAAGGGAATGCCCTGACATAGAGGTGGGGTGGGGTGGGGAGGGTTGGGGTGGGTGGGAGGGCTACTGGGTTCATTGGTGGTGGAGAATGGGCACTGGTGCAGGGATGGGTACTTGATCATTGTACAACTGAAACCCAAGCACGAAAGTTTGTAAGTCTACAACTGTACCTCATGGTGTTTCACTAATTAAAAAAATAATAATAAAAAATAAAGAATTCCAATTTCTCTAAGTTGTAAAATTTATAAGAATAAAGTTGTTCATATTCTATCTTGATCATCCTTTTGATGGCTTCAACATATAATATGATAGTTGTGAGTTTTCTTTCTGATATTCATAACTGGTGTTTTCTCTCCTTTTATCTTTGTAAATTATGCTAGAAGTTTATAGATTGTATGCTTTTTTTTCTTAAAGAGAATTGCATTTAAAAAATTTTATTTTCCTGTGCTGAACTTAATGGATTTAGGTTTTTCCTCCCTCTTATTTCCTTTGGGATATATTCTTATATTAATCTCCTACCTGCCATACTTTCATTCATTCCTTGCCTTCAAATTTTTTATTCCTTACTTTCTTTCAGTTTATCTTAATGTTCCATATTTGATACAGTTTTTTCAACCACTATTTATTTTTTCCTTGAAATAGAAAAAAGAGATAGAGGTCTGGGTTCTTAAGATACTAAGTAGTTTCTGTATTATCTTTCCAATATACTTTTTGTTTCACCATGGAACGCTGAGAGTATTTTTCACTATTTTTCTATTTTCTTTTTTTAAAAAACATTTTTTGTGAAGTTTTAGTCATTCAGGGATGTGTGCTCAGGTCTTGCTCCTGACAGTGCTCAGGGGTTGGTGCTCAGGGGACTGTGTCATGCTGGGGATGAAACCCAGACCTCCGCATGCAAAACATACACTCCTGTCCTTTGACCTAACTGTCAGGCCCCAAGCATCCTTTTATCCTTATAGTTTGTACCACATTGGCTCCTGGAAAGGCTTATTATTCATGTCATTATTATATTCCTACTGAAGCTTAAGTTTGTACTAAATTTGAAGTAGCTTCCGCATTTTGAGTTTTCCTTGGCAGGTTTTGGAGGCTGGTTCAGTGACTCTTACATTTGTACCCTGTCTATTCGGCTGAGATGCATAAAAACAAATAGTCTGGACAGAACTCCATTCTCCTCTTCCTGTGTGTGGTCCCACTACCCAGCTTGCCCTTCGCAGAGCTGATTCTGGCAGTTCCTTTGCTGCCCTTCACTTGGTGGTTAGTAAACACCTCTAAATTATGTTCGCACTAGTCAGTATTATTTTGTCTCACAAGAAACTCAGGGGGACGCACCTCTTGCTATCACATTGCCTGAAATGAAAACAGCCCTGTGCAAAGGAGTAGGGCTTTGCTCCAAGCTCTTTGAACATTGCTCCATGGATCACTGTTTAGGCTCAAGCTTGAGGTTAAGGCGCTTGCCTTGCATGTGGCTGACCCTAGTTAGAACCCTTGCCTTACATACGGGTCCCTTGAGTTTAGAGCCAGGAGTTGGTCCTGAGCATCACAGAGCATGAATATGGTTCACCTCCCAGCCCCCAGCCCCCCTCTTCCCCACATCCCCCCAAATAGACTAAAGTGCCTGAGTTTGTATTTCGGATCTATATTATTCTAGCCTGAATACCTTCAACAAGTGACCTGACCCTGCTAAGCCCTGGTTTCCCCTGGTGAAAAACAGGAATCAACACCAGCGTGGTTGCTATGAGGATTAGGTGTCATAATCCGTATTAAGTGTGGCCGGTGCTATTGGAATTTTTCAATGACTGTTGTTGTTGCCGATGCAGCAAAGCTTCTGAGTGGAAGAGCTGACTTACACACTCAGGGCGACCCAACTCTCCAGTATGTGTTCTGAGCCACGGCCTGGGCAGGAAGAGAGGGCCGGAAGTAGCCAGTGGCTTGTGTGAGGCAGCAATTGAGAAGCTTCATGGCAAGGCTCGCTGTTGTCCTCTCACCCTCCCTTTGAAAATCCTTATAAGTCAGTTTCTGCATCAATGATTGATATTAAAATAGACATGACATCTCTAATAAGAGTTGTGAAATTAACGATGGGTGGGTGGAGAGGTGGAGGGCTTGGGATCTACCCAACAGTGCCTGGGACCCAACCACATTGGCTATGAGCAAAACAAGCTCCTTAATCCTTGTACTGTCTCTCTGGCCAAAGAAGATATTTTATAGCTAGGCGTGGATATAGCCTCTGGCCCAAGAAGATGGTCAATAAATTTTGCTGAATAGGTGAATAATCATTGTATTAACAGTGTAAGAGATTGCTCACATAGTATTTGATTATTGTAACAAATCAAAGCTGTTTGTTCATTTGAAAAAAAAAAAAAGACCTATGGAATACCTTTGGTCTTCCAGGGAAGGAATTTTGTAGTAAGTTCAGTTTTCCCACCCCCAGCACTTGCCTTTCCAGAACTAAAATGCCCAACTGTGGATAGTGTAATGAATGTTACAGTGTAAATGAATTCAGTGTGAGCTGTCTAACTTGGCTCCAATACTTGATGTTTTTAGAAGCTCTGATGGGCCCAAATCCTGATGCTTGGGTGGATTAATAATTTCTATTAGGACAGGTTGTATGTTGGTAATGGGTTACTTGGATTCAGTTAAATTTAGATCTGTGGCTTGTCTACTTGAGTGCTGAACTCCAAGCCAAAGTATTCTCATCAGGATCATTAGAACAGTCATACTCATAATTGTGTGTGTGTGTCTGTGTTTCCCTGTGTGTGCACAAACATGCTTAAAGAATTAGAAGTTTAAAACAAGTAACTCAGTGTTATATACTTTCATCTTTTATACTTAAATCCTTTCCTCCTTAGATCAGTACTGAGACTTGGGTGATACCTTTTATTTCAACTTGGTTTAGGTCTGTCGTATATAGGATCTTGCCATTCATTGTTTTTTGTGCTGATAATCTTTGGGCATACATTTCCAGAGATTTGCTTTCCCAGTTTGGTGTATTCCCACAGCCAAGGATCTAAAGAGGGTGGAGATCAACTGAGGTAGTATTGAAGTAGTCATAATAAACCATAATATACAGGTCTTTGAATCTTATTGTTGTGTTCAGGGTTATTTCATTATAACATTAATGTGGAAAAAAAGTCTCAGCCAGGTCAGTGCTGAGTGGGCTCTGTTTTCCAGGATCTGATTTATTTACATATTGTTTTATGTAAAGTCATAATTTCCAAGACTCTATCAACAGACTTGAGGACTCTCTCTGTGCCCTAATGGAATTTTGTGCTCTCTTTCATGGAGACAACAGGTCTACCCACCTCTGGCTGCTCTGAGACGACCCCAGAGGCTCTTTGTGCCTAGCTAAGCATTCACTACTGACTGAGACAAGCAAGTATTGACTTTGCTCAGCTAGTCTGGAGACCCGGGTTAGTTTGGACCCTGAAAATCATATCACCATAATCACCATGCTTGACTTTTTTTTTAAATCCATGAAGATGAGGATTAGATAGAATTTAAATCTGAAATTTGGGGACTTGATGTAATTTTAAGCCAGTTACTTGTTTTTTTTTAGCAATTGGGAGAAGAGTGGTGGGATAATGGAATCAAAGAAAAAGTTTGGACTTACTAATTGTGTCATTATATGACAATATATACCTGGCTCATATTTACTGGTGATTTAATATTACATGTCAGGATTTTATAACATAGTATTATATTATAATAGCATTATAATATAATTTTTCCTATATCTTAATTTTACTTATGGTCTTGTTGGTAAGGAAAAAAATCCTCTCCTGTTGTATAAGATTTAGGAATATCTGATATAACAGCACTTCCTTCTCGCTCCCTGTCCTTCCAGGCCTCCTCGAGATTTAGACTCCAAAGCTTGCATTTCTATTGGAAATCAGGTAAGGAAAATCTTGTCTATCAGTTAACGTTTTGATCATTTTATATGGATGCTTTTGGACTTACCATGGGGTCATTAGTTTTCTGTCGTGTGCTATGGGGAGTGGGTAAAAAAAAAAAATGTAATTTTTTTTAACTCTCGGGGTTTGACTGCTGAATGGAAAATTGGATGTCCCGAAAAAGGAGATGATTCTTTGGGGGGAGGATTTCTAAACTACAAACATCAATATCATTGCTATCATCAACAAAAAAATCACACAGGTAACTAAGGAGACTAAAGGTCATAGGTGAAGGGTGCATTCACAAGCAATCTGGAAGTTGGGTTGGACATTGTATTCCTGTTGGCTGGTCACATGCTCTGGAAATATAAACATCTCCCTGACCTTCTTGTTTTCAATGCTTGCTTGGAATAGCTGCTAGACCGGAAGCTAAGGGACTAGAAGTCATCCTTAGAATTTGGGGGAGAAAGCCAAGAACGGGCATTGTTATCCATGTCCAGTTAAGTTTTCCTCCTTCCTAAGACTGTCTTACTGTCTCTGACCTACAGAACTTTGAGGTAAAGGCAGATGATCTGGAGCCTATAACGGAACTGGGGCGAGGTGCGTACGGGGTGGTGGAGAAGATGAGACACGTGCCCAGCGGGCAGATCATGGCGGTGAAGGTAGAGTTGACATTCCCCCCAAATCCCATGTCTGTGGTGTACCAATTTGTCACTTGCAAATCAGAACCTCTCTATAGAACAATAGAGTCTGCAGTGGGGTGAAAGAGACAAAGATGATCTGTCAAAGAACATGTATTTCTCTTCCAAAGCACGGGAGGGGTGAAGTGCACGTATGGTCTTGAAATGTGTACATCTCTCTCCTTTTTCTTTTCTTTTTTTTTTTTTTTGGGTCATGGTGATGCTTATGGTTACTCCTGGCTCTGCACTCAGGAATTACTCCTGGCGGTGCCCAGGGGGGACCATATGGGATGCTGGGAATCGAACTGAGTCAGCCGCGTGCAAGGGAAATGCCCTACCCACTGTGCTATCACTCCAGCTCCCAATCTCTCTCCTTCTTTCACATTTATTTATGTATTTTTTTGTGCTGCCACAGTATTTCCATCACATTTTAGAGAATTAACAATACTTAAAAAAATTATTTAAGTTTAAATGACCTGATCATTTAAGGAGAGAGAGAGAGAGAGAGAGAGAGAGAGAGAGAGAGTTTAAATTCTATTCATTGTCCAAATTGAAGTAGAAAACAAATGTTCTCACAATCCCTTTGGCTGCTCTGTTTCCAAAGTCTCTTTTATTCTGTATTTTGTTGCCTTTAAAGAATTGTCCCTGAAAAATCAAGAAACCAGAATTAGAGGGAGCATATTATTTCCATTGATGGAGAAAAATATGGTAAAATACATCTTGAGTGAATTTGCATTTTTTTGAGCTGTAAAAGAGAACTTAGAAACTTTCCATCTATGTGTTATGAATGGTTTTAATGTATTTCTTGAGCAGAAATTGCAAGAATCTGGGAGACTGACCATCTCTAGACGGGTTCATAGATTTGGGCCACTGTTAGAGACGAGGATGCTGAGATGATTTCATTCCCTTTGATTTTGGAGGAGGGAGTTCCTTTCCCTGGCCTGGTAGATTTTTCTGTTTGTTCTGCTGCAGATTCTTGGCTGGGTAAGACAACCAGTGTGTCAGTCTTAAGCAACTAGATCACTTGCGCTAGACAGACATGGAGCAGTAAACTCTTCGTAACTTGGGAATGCATTTGTAATTTGAGATTTACATTCCCAAACGTTTGTACACGCTTCAAAATATATTAGCAGTTTGTTTCTTGCCAGGAATTATTTGGAAAATCGATGATCAACAGCCTTCCCCATTGTTCATGTTTAAAAATAACTAATCTCAAGACCGGAGAGATAGTCCAGTGAGTAGGGCGCTAGCCTTGCGTTCAACTGACCTGCCTTCAATTCCTGATATCCCTCCGAGTCTATCAGTATGAGCATGGAGCCAGGAATAAAGCCTGAGCACCACTGAATGTGGCCCAAACCCCACCCCCTGTAATAATAAACAGGAGGAAAACAGCTAATCGCTTAGAACAGACATTAGGAAGGTTTTTACTAGAAGTTCTGTGAATGTTTGGATGTCTCCAGGATAGGGTTCCCTGAGTTCTGCTTTATTAACAGATTTATCTTCAAAACAGTAACCATGCATTTTCCCATGCCTTCTTATCCAGCGGATTCGGGCTACAGTCAACAGCCAGGAGCAGAAAAGGCTACTGATGGATCTGGATATATCCATGAGGACAGTAGACTGTCCTTTTACGGTCACCTTTTATGGCGCACTCTTCCGGGAGGTAAGTCATCAGCCCGTTTCACGACCAGGGAGAACAATAAGTTAAAGAGTTCCTCCCATCTCATTAGGGTCATGTACCTGCATGGAACTCAGTTTTACTTGTCACGGCTTTTTTTAGACAGGAGAGACTCACGCTTCTGCAGTGATGCCATGTTCGCCTGCAAAGATATTAGCGTGTATTCCAGCTCGTTTAGCTCCTTTCCCAATGCTAATGCTCCTCTTTTTCCTTTCTAATTTGGCTTGTCTGTTTTTAGCAGAACTGTTTCTGTTGAGCGTCTGCAGACTTGATAGATTTCTCAAAACCTGAACGATTCTGGACTTTTGGACGCTCGATAAACTTTGTGCTGTCTTGGGTGCTACACGGGCTCTGTGTGTCTTCTCCGTTCTGCTTCGGCTTTGCCCTTTGCCATTCTCTGGATTATGCCACTTCACTTTACAAAGCAGCTTCTTGATGAGCTGTGGGGAGGTCGAATAGGAAATCACCTGTGGCACTTGACTCTTCATGGCTGCTAATGATCAGGGCTTGGGTTTCTAGGATTCTATTATTTGTGGCACATCAAATGTTTAGAACCTAGTCCTTGGTGATCTCACTCAGATACTGCGAGTTTGGTCTATGGAATCATTTTTGCATGTTTTATTTATTTAATTTTTGCTTTTGGGTCACACCTGGAGATGTACAGGGGTTACCCCTGGCTCTGAACTCAAGAATTACTCCTGGTGGTGCATGGGAGACCATATGGAATGCTGGGAATAAAACCTGGTCAGCCGTGTGCAAGGCAAACGCCCTACCTGCTGTGCTATCACTCCAGCCCCTATCTTGCATGCTTTAAAATTCCTCTACTACCTGAAAGGAAAACAAACTCTCCTCCCGAAGCTCAAGCAAGAAAGAGTTTGTCTTGGTAGGGGGTCACAGTCTCCTTCCTCTTCTTTATTCAAACTCACTAACCGTTTCTGAACCCCTCTTTCCCCAGGGTGATGTCTGGATCTGCATGGAACTCATGGACACGTCACTAGATAAATTCTATAAACAAGTGATTGATAAGGGTCAAACCATTCCAGAGGACATCTTAGGGAAAATAGCGGTTTCTGTGAGTATATTATGAACCCCACTACAAGGAAGATATAACATATGTAGACTCTGTATGTTTGTGTCCTCTGCGTAGACTATGCCACCTGGACTCTAGTCCCCATTTATCTACTAATTGAATGTCCGAGCATATTTGTGATGCCTTTTCTTTCTGACCACTGTGTAGAAGTCTCTGCTACTGACTTGATTTGAGAAACTTAATGCCTCCAGGCAAGACCTCTCATTGACTCCCTGTTCTCATTCTTAGTGTCTATAGACTCTCGTGATTATTTTGATTTCCCTTTGTAAGGTTGTAAATGTTTTCTTAAAACCAAGAGGCATTCAAAGAAGCAAAAGTTAAAAAAAAAAGGAAAGAATTTTGCTTCCTCAATGCCACTGAGACTCACAGGAGAGGAAAGAAAACAAATAACTGAAGACCAAATGAAAAATTCTGGAATCCGTAATAGACAAGATCCCCTCCCTACTATGATAGAATCCTCTTGGGGTATGGGGGGGTTGGGAGTCGGTTAATTTGTGTAATTTGCTGTGTATTTTCCTGGCCAGAATCACCCTGAGAAAATACCTCACCTTGTGACCTCAAGCCAGGGCTAATAAGCCTGCAAATACTTATTACTGAATCTCTTTCCAGGGATAGGGAAAAGAAATCTGTATTGTGTTTTTCTTGCAGATTGTAAAAGCCTTAGAACATTTACACAGTAAGCTCTCTGTCATTCATCGAGGTAAGCACTGGAGGGGATGGTCTGGGCTAATATGAAATGGAATCATTTGGAGCTGGGGAGATAGGACAGGGGTAAGACGCTTGCCTTTCATATGGCCAACCCTGGTGTCATCCTCAGCATTGCATATAATGCCCCAAGCACTGCTAGGATGAACCCTTGAGTGCAGAACCAGGAGTACACTCCGAGGATAGCCAGATGCAGTGTAAAAAATACAACGCAAGCAATGTTGAACCTTGAAGGAAATTCATGGCTTTGCCTTGGGTCTTTCCCCATTTCTATCTCTCCTGGTCCTTAATGAATGAAACTAGAATGGTGTCTGGCAAAGAGGTGCCCTCAGGGAAAGAAAATCCCAGCAGCCACTGGTCTTTATTTGGTCTGTGACAGAGGCAGTAAGAACTTCAAGAACACACATAGAATAAAAACTCACCTAATATTTATCATCATCTTTTTTAAAACACATTTTTATTTGTGAATCACCGTGAGGTACAGTTACAGACTTACAAACTTTGGTGCTTGTGTTTTAGTCATACAATGCTCTAGTACTCATCCCTCCACAAGTGCCCATTCTCCACCACCAATGTTCCCAGTATCCTCCCATCCTCCCAACCCCCCCCCATCCCCCCACCCCCCGCAGGGCATTCCCTTTTGTTCTCTCTCTCCTTTTGGGTCTTGTGGTTTGCAATAGAGGTATTGAGTGGCCAACCTGTTGATCACCTAGGAACTTGTTAGAAAAACATATGTATGGTTCTGGAGACCAACTGTAACACTGTAGCACTGTCTTCCCATTGTTCATTGCTTTGCTCCAGTGGGGCCCCAGTAATGTCTCCATTGTGAGACTTGTTGTTACTGTGTTTGGCATATTGAATATGCCATGGGGAGCTTGCCAGGCTTTGCTGGGAGAGATACTCTCGGTAGCTTGCCAGGCTCTCTGAGAGGGACAGAGGACTCGAACCTGGGTCTGCTGCGTGCAAGGCAAACGCCCTACCCGCTGTGCTATCGCTCCAGCCCTCGAGAACAACTACATCAGAATATACATTTTTGCAATGTCTCAGGTAATTTTAGTGGGCGTTAAAATGTGAAAAGTTCTAGTTTTCAGACAGCTAGAGACAGGCGACAAATGAGCCAAATAGTCTCTCTCTCTCTCTCTCTCTCTCTCTCTCAAATTGACCTCATATTTCTGCATCTGTCTTTTCCAGACATATATCCATTCACCCATTCACTTTCTCCCATCTACTCATCCACCCATTTTATTCTTTTTACAGTTACAAGGTTGTTCATGATTGAGTTTCAGTCATATAATATTCCAACACCCGTCCTTCACCAATGCACATTTCCCATCACCAGTGTCCCCAGTTTCCCTCCCACAACCTTTCGCCTGCCTCTATGGAACGCACTTTTCTCCCCCTCCTTCCGCTTTCATCCATTCATTTTATAATCATTTCTCTAACATTTATTCAGCTCTATATTTATATCACTGTGTCATTGTCATCCCGTTCGTTGGTCTTTGAATTACTCAAGCAGGTGCCAGTAACGTCTCTATTGCGCCTAGCCCTGAGATGTTAGCAGCCTCTTTTTACTCATCTTTTCCCAATGATTGGAGGCTCTTTTCGGGTCAGGGGAATGAGACCTATTGTTGTTACTGTATTTGGTATATCTAATACGCCACGGGGAGCTTGACAGACTCTGCCCATGATATATATTTTATGTAACACTATAAAAATATTCCTGGAGAAATATCCAAGAAGAAAATATATTCTTTAAAGTTTTACCTAGAGATTTCTGGTAGGGAAATGACCAAAGTAGGCAGCTAACAAATGAGTGAAAATAAGCCACATAACACTAAGTAGCATAGGAAGAATATAAAGCAAGAAAATTTCTAGCATTGGGTGACTCGTCAATGAACACTGTGAAATGCCTAAGTAGGTATTTGGAATAATTAATGGAAAATATTGAGAGCAAATAGGACATTATAGCTTGATTGATATTACATGTGCTGAGTCTGAAATTAAAAGAAAAATGCGTCAAACATGATTGTTCTTGGAATTATTCATTGTTTTTCAAATTGGGAAACTTAGACGAAAGGGGAGAAGATAGTGGAAAACAACTGTTCATCCACAAATGCAAAAGGACTTTTAAAACATTGTTCCAAAGTTATGGAATATTTAATTCACATTTGAAAATATATTTAGTATAATAATAAAATTAAATCTGTATATTTTCCATTTAATTGGAAAGTTATACGGATTCAATTTTTGAAAGAATAACTTTCTTATTTCTTATGAGAAGTGTCAAAGACTCAATTTTTAAGAGAATAACTCTTTTTCTTCTGGTTATTTCATGTGAGAAGGGAAAAAAATCTTGACTCTAGCTTTTTTTTTCTTTTTGGATCACTCCTGGCATTGCACAGAGGTTACTCCTGGCTCATGCACTCAGGAATTACTCCTGGCTGTGCTCAGGGGACCATATAGGATGCTGGGAATCGAACCTGGGTTGGCTGCTTGCAAGGCAAACGCCCTACCCACTGTGCAATTGTTCCAGCCCCTTGACTCTAACTTCTAATTGCCTAGAGATAATCATAGTTTATCTCCTTAGGTGTGGGAAAATTTCCAGTCGAAAGGTTCAATAGGGAAAATGTCCAGAAGTACCTTTTCTCCCCCAGGGGTGCCCTACCTTTTGGTCTGGAACACCTGGGATTTATGGTCCCTTATGCCACATGACCTTTTTTCTGACTCAGCTCTTGTGAATGCTTGGATCAAAAAGTAGCTGTGTGTGTTTTTTTCTTTAGGGTTCCTTTTGGTGCATTTTAAGTCTCCTTTCATTATTTCATTCTGTTATCTACTACTCCTTCAACTCGTGTGCTATAGATCAATACGAACTGGGCTTTTCCGAAATGATCTTCTTGTTAGCAGAACACCCAGAATGAGTTCTTTTCTTCTCCGTTTTAAAGTCAACACGTCTTTTGTACACTGCAGGGAAAATGTGGGGGGAAGTAAATCTTTCAAAAGAGCACTTCATTCATTTGATTTGGTGTTCCAACTCCTTGTGTGAGGGCAATGAAGAGGATGAAATGGAGGAAACTGTTCTTTCCCTGAGTGATTTCAGTGTATAAGACACACACACACACACACACACACACACACACACACACACACACACACACACCCCACACACACAATCCAAGTAGAAGCTGTAAAGTACATTTGTACATTTGTCTGGGTGGCGGTTGCCCTGGTTACAGGTCCCGCTAAGGAAAGGAAATGAAGGAGAAATGGAGACTTCCCGCCCTCTAGCGGTAGATGGCGGGATGGTCACAGCTGCCTGAGCTGATGGGTGGTCCATGTTGTTTATGATTGAGTTTCAGTCATATGATGTTCTAATGGGCTGAAAGCGTTTGCCTTGCACGCAGCCAACATGGCCAACCCGTGTTCGATTCCTCCGCCCCTCTCGGAGAGCCCAGCAAGCTACTGAGAGTATCTCGCCCGCAGGGCAAAGTCTGGCAAGCTACCCATGACGTATTCGATATGCCAGACACAGTAATATGCCAAACACAGTAACAACAAGTCTCACGATGGAGATGTTACTGCGCCCGCTCGAGCAAATCGATGAATAACGGGAGGACTGTGACTGTGATGTTCTAATACCTGTCCCTTCACCAGTGCGCATTTCCCATCACCAGTTTCCCCAGAGTCCCTCCCTCCCATCCCCATCTCCTGCCTGTATCTATGGCAGGCATCTCTCTCTCTCCCTCCCTCCCTCCCTCTCCCTTTCTTTCTACCTCTTCCCTTCTTTCATCCATTTATTTTATAATCATTTTTTTAACATTTATTCAGCTCTATATTTATAGAACACTAAAAAGGTTCCTGGAGAAATATCTAAGAAGAAAATATTCTCTTTAAAGTTTTATCTGGAGATTTCTGGTAGGGAAATGAGCAAAGTAGGCTAACAAAATGAGTGAAAATAAGCCACATAACAAGAAGGAAGTGGCATAGGAAGAATATAAAGCAAGTATGTTCTCGCTTTATGTAAATGTACTTTACACCCAGACAAACGTGCTTTTCAGACGTCAAGCCTTCTAACGTGCTCATCAACACGCTGGGCCAAGTGAAGATGTGTGACTTTGGAATCAGTGGCTACCTTGTAGATTCTGTCGCTAAAACGATCGATGCAGGATGCAAACCATACATGGCCGTGAGTACTGAAGCTAGGGTAACTGAGTTCACACCTGCGCACAAACCTTGCCAAAAACTGGAAAGTGATTGGCCAGAGGGAAAAGGGGAAATGTGCCTAAAAGGAAAAAAAAAATCAACATTCTGCCTCTTAATTTTCTTCAATATTTTCCATTTTATATCCTTTGTCACTCGGGTCGGCCATGTTGGCTGCGTGCAAGGCAAACGCCCAGGGCTGGAGCAATAGCACAGCGGTAGGGCGTTTGCCTTGCATGCAGCCAACATGGCCGACCCGAGTTCGATTCCTCCGCCCCTCTCGGAGAGCCCGGCCAGCTACCGAGAGTATCTCACCCGCACGGCAGAGCCTGGCAAGCCACCCGTGACGTATTCGATATGCCAGACACAGTAACAACAAAGTCTCCAATGGAGATGTTACTGGGCCCGCTCGAGCAAATCGATGAACAACGGGAGGGCCTTTACCTTGCCTTTTACCTTTATCCTTTGTCACATGATAGATATGCCTATCTATCCATAAAAATATATAGATATATGGATATATAGCTCAGCGGGTAGGGTTTTGCCTTGCATGCGGCCAACCCGGGTTGATTCCTCTGTCCCTCTTTGAGAGCCCGGCAAGCTACTGAGAGTATCCCACCTGTGTGGCAGAGCCTGGCAAGCTCTCCGTGGCATATCTGGTATGCCAAAAACAGTAACAACAAGTCTCACAATGGAGACATTACTGGTGCCCATTCGAGCAAATCGATGAACAATGGGAGGACAGTGCTATATACAGTGCTATATATCCATATATGTATATATCCATACAATGTACTGCATTTACCTGAGAGCATCACCCAGTTTAGTGGGAATGGAATAATCCATAGAATTCAAATCACCCAAACCAAGTTCCTTCTGAGAGACCCTCAAGAAATGTTGTGAAGATGTTGCTATGTGGACAGAAAGCTCAAGCTTTCTATTACTGCAGAGGGGACGAATGTTCTATTTGGAAATGAAATTTTACTTGGGAGGGAGAAGCTTCGTGTCTGTGTTTGACTACAACTTGATTCTTCTGCTCACACCAGAGAGAGATTCTTGTTATTATTTTTTTTTCTTACTGAACTTGAACTGTTGGTGTTTAAAACGGGGCTTAGCCTGGACTGGTGAAAAAAGTGTTAGGAGATAGAGCTGGTTTCTCCTTGAGGCAAAATTAAAGTCAGTTTTGACTTGTGAGGGGATGCAGAGGCATTGACTGACTTCAAGTAAAGACTATTGTAGAAGGAGGAAATCCCACTGAGGCATTGATATTTATTGGCATGAGTGAGTCCTCTTGGCTGGGACACATGGTAACAACTGAAAATAATTCACTTGGCAGCAGGGGCTGTCCCCAACCCCAGAGAGTGCTGAGCTCAGAGTGTCATCTCAGTTTTCTCTCTCTGTCTTCTTTCCAGCCTGAAAGAATAAACCCGGAGCTCAACCAGAAGGGCTATAGTGTGAAGTCTGACATTTGGAGCCTGGGCATCACCATGGTAGGATTCACTGAGGACCCTGGACCACAGGGTTCTGGCCGTGAGGCTGGAATGGAAGAACTTTTTTTTAATTGAATCACAATGAGATACAGTTAGAAAGCTCTCATGTTTGAGTTTCAGTCATACAATGATCAAACACCCATCCCTCCACCAGTGCACACTTTCCACCACCAATATCACCAGTATTCCCCCACCTCCATCCCAACCCTCCCCCTGCCTCTATGGCAGACAGTTTCCCCCATACTCTCTCTACTTTTGGCCATTATGGTTTGCAATACAGATACTGAGAGATTATCTCATTTGGTCCTTTATCTACTTTCAGCACATATCTCCCTTCTCAAACGATCCCTCCAACCATCATTGTCTTAGTGATCCCTTCTCTATTCCAGCTGCCTTCTCTACCAGCTCGCGAGACAGGCTTCCAACTATGGGGCACTTTCCTTGGCCCTTGTGTCTACTGTCCTTGGGTGTCAGTCTCATATTATGTTATTTTATATTCCACAAATGTGTGCAGTCTTTCTATGTCTGTCCTTCTCTTTCTGACACATTTTACTTAGCATGATACTCTCCATGACCATCCTTTTATAAACAATTTCATGGCTTTATCTCTCCTAACAGCTGCATAGTATTCCATTGTGTAAATGTACCAAGGTTTCTTTAACCAGTCATCTGTTCTCGAGCACTTGGTTTGTTTCCGAATTCTGGCTATTGTGAACAGTGCTTCAATGAACATACAGGTGCAGATGTCATTTCTACTATGCTTTTTCACACTTTTGGGATATATTCAGAATGGGAAAAACTTGGAGAACCAGAGGTCAACACACTCAGCGTTGCTGTGGGGACCTCTCCCTGCCCGAGAGAGCAGGGGATTTTGTATGATCATGTTTGCAGGGAGATGTGGTAGCAATACTCAACTGAAATTGGGCAAACCCAATTTTCTCTCTTTACCTGTATGAGGTTAGCGGTTGACTCTTGAGTCACCAGAGATTGTGACAAGAACTGTCATCCTGTCTTCCTTAGTAAAACAAAAAGGTTCAGCAATTGCTCCAGAGTTTTCCTTTTTTTCTTTTGTTTTTTGGGTCACACTCAGCAATGCACAGGGGTTACTCCTGGCTCATGCACTCTGGAATTACTCCTGACGGTTCTCGGGGGACCATATGGGGTGCTGGGAATTGAACCTGGGTCAGCCACTTGCAAGGCAAATGCCCTACCCACTGTGCTATTGCTCAGAACCAAGAGTTTTCCTTGAGGGGTTGAAATGAGAGGATTTCAATCAAGTCACAGAGAAGTTCAGGTTACTTGAGGAATGTTAGTAAGGACCAGGAACAAGCAGTGTTGATGTGGATGTAGGCTTCTCTTTCACCAAATTATGATAGAAGACTTGGCTCTTGAGTCAGGCGAAGGTCCTCAAAACCCAATCAAAAGAAGGACAATTTCCATAGGGACAGCACTAATGTGGTCCCATCACCGAGACCAATTTGAGTCTCGTTTGAATCTCCGCTGAGGGTTGATATTCAGTGGAGCGCCAAGGTCTGGAATGTCAGCTCAGGTCTTGGCTCCCTCCCAGATACAGCAGCTGGTTAAATTCCATGAGTGATTTTACATCGCTGCCCAGAAAACACGTGATCGGGTCATGGCAAAGCGGCCTTTATTCGTGTCCAAAAACAGATCAGTCATTTGGTCTGTTATTTTGGTTGTTGTTGTTTCCATTCCAACAAGAGACCTGCAGATGGCAGCAAATGTCCAACGCTGTGCAAAGCTTATGCCCTGAGTGACTTTCTCAGAACATGGGAAAACCTGAAGGCTTTACAGTTCTGCAGGTGTTTGCCTTGCACACAGCCAACCTGGGTTCGATTCTTCTGCCCCTCTCGGAGAGCCCAGCAAGCTACCGAGAGTATCCCGCCTGCACAACAGAGCCTGGCAAGCTCCCCGTGGCGTATTCGATATGCCAAAAACAGTAACAACAAGTCTCACAATGGAGACGATACTGGTGCCTGCTCAAGCAAATCGGTGAACAATGGGAGGAGAGTGCTGCATATATATATTGCCACAGTGGCTTCTTGTGAGGATCCAGTTTCAAATGAACTTAAATAGTGGTTCCCAGTAAGACAGCAATAAGGAAGACACTAGTTAAGAATTGGGGGTGGGTGGAGGAGAATGACTACAAAACATCTTATTCATGAATTTTTTTCCTCCCAAGTGTTACCTGATCTTCTCCTTTGCTTCTCCCTCTCCTTGTTCTGGAGCAAAGCACAGTGGGATTCCTACATTAGCCCCATGCAAACTTTTGTCTCTTTGTTCTCCTTTAGATTGAGTTGGCCATCCTTCGGTTTCCTTATGACTCCTGGGGGACACCTTTTCAGCAGCTCAAGCAGGTGGTCGAGGAGCCATCGCCCCAACTCCCGGCAGACAAGTTCTCTGAAGAGTTTGTGGACTTTACCTCACAGTGGTAAGAGAGCCCCATTGCTCCGGCGTCAGGGAGGATGAGGTGTTTGCCTGAAATTCCTCTGTGGGTTGTCCCCTGCGATGCCGGCATTCATTACCAAGGCATCTATGACTGCGCCCTACTGATATTCCTGCCTTTGGCTTCATTGAGTGCAAAGTGAAGTAGGGAATCTTCTCAGTTCATTAGCATGATGGTGTGATAGGACAACTCTAGTAACAGAGAGACAGAAGGCTCTCAGGAAATGCATTGGGGTAGATACATACTTGGGTAATTGAATTCTGAGCTAAGACCATCTACCATATTTTCAGAGCAAAAAGAAAGTCGGGGAGGGACGTGTATTGTACTGAAGGAACTTCAAGTTAAGAGACACCTTTTGGCACCCTCAGTTTGATGTGGAATAGAGAGAGATGAGAAAGAGGTAGGACCCTTTGGTAGATTAGGGGTAGGGAGTAAACAAGATACAAAGCTCTCAGGTACCTAGAAATTTTACAAAGTCCTCTAGTGTTTTGTAGGCTACTTCCTACTTTGCTAACGGAGCATATTATTGATCCCTACAGATGTTTAGCTAAAAGTATTGAGGGATTTGTGGTAGAAATCTGGGAGTAGTCAGACTTAGAGTTTGTGGAAATTGCCAGTGGAATGGAGGAGAGTGGAGAGCATCGTTCCCTCTGGGAAACCAAGCCATTTGTCATTTGCAGAAGGCAGAAATGCTTTGGGGTTGTCAGATTTTGATGACCATGATTATTGCAAATATGGATGGAGAGAAAATGCAAAAAAGTGGGGGGATGGATGGAGCCCAGTTAGATTATTTGGACAATTTGCACACATAGATGAGAATTGGGAGGAAAGGGGTTAGAGATAGCGCTAAGCTCAGTTGTAGCCCTTGGAGATGAGCTCTTCTGGCCACTTTTGCTTGGCAAGAGGCTCTGGGGTGCTGAATGCTGAGGGTGCAGAAGCTTTCCATTGCCTTCCACTTTGGAACAAGTGTTCTGGATACGGTTCTTCCTGGGAAGCATGAGGAGACAAATAATGAACGTCGTCTGTTGCTCAAAAAATAACCAAAAATCTCTTGTGTTTTTTCTTTTCTTTCTTTTTTTCTTTTTTTATTCTTTTTGAGTTATACCCAGCTATGCTGAGGGGTTACTCCTGGTTCTGCACTCAGGAATTACTCCTTGCGGTGCTTGGGGGACCATATGGGATGCTGGAGATTGAACCCACGTTGGCCGTGTGCAAGGCAAATGCCCTACCTGCTGTACTATTGCTCTGGCCCTCTTATGTTTCCTTTTGCTAGCTCTTGATCCCAGACTTCCTGGGTACTTTCCCTGATGGTTTGTGAGATTGACTTGCCATTGTTTGCATGGGTTCTTTTGTTCGGGCTGAATGGCTAGAGAGGGGCTAGAACATGAAGCTCCAGTATTGGGAGGTTGTTGGTGCCACTTCCGAGAGGTATGCTTTGGGCCCCTGGGGCGTGAGGGGCTTCCCATCACTTGTCCCACAGGGTGCCATACATGTACGTGATGTGCACTCGGCAAGCTGAGGTGGATTCACATCTGCCTTCTGGGCAGAGGATATAGCTCCATGGGCAAACACTTGCCTTGTGTGGATGCGACTCTTATGTTCTATCCTGGGCACGCCCACCAGAAATCCTACTGTTTTGCCTTCTGGTGGCAGTGACCTCTGTTTTGCTGTGTTTGTGATGAACTTACCCTGAAATGGTTAAAGTCGCCTAACAGAAGGCATGAGGCACCAGGGGTCATTCAGATGGAAGATCTCAAACGTTCTGATGGGGAGGAGCTGACCTAGGAAAGTCTTTTCAAACTGGAACCATTCTTCATTCTTACCCCCCAAGATTTGGGGTGTTTCAGAAATTGATTGGGAGAGTTTGAGATGTGAAGAGTTTGAGAATGCTGAGTTGGGTGTCATGGTCACGGTCACGGTCCTCCCATTGTTCATCAATTTGCTTGAGCGGGCCCAGTAACGTCTTCATTGGAGACTTTGTTGTTACTGTGTTTGGCATATCGAATACGTCACAGGGAGCTTGCCAGGCTCTGCCGTGCGGGAGAGATACTCTCAGTAACTTGCCGGGCTCTCCGAGAGGGGTGGAGGTATCGAACTCGGGTTGGCCATGTTGGCTGCGTGCAAGGCAAATGCCCTACCGCTGTGCTATCGCTCCAGCCCTGGGTGCCATGAACCATCAGTTAAGAGGAAAAAGGCATTCACTCTGGCTGCTCATTTAGAGAACCTGAAAGAGTTTTTCTGTGACTAAGGTTTTGGTCATATATTTTAGATTCTCTCAGTGTAGGGACAGGCCTTGAATATCAGATGTCAACAAATGACTCTTTCGAGCTGGGATGGGAACCCCTGATTTAGACCTATGTCCTGTGGGCCGGGGACCTACTGTCTCCTGTTGCAAAGCTGCATTTCTTCTACAGCTTATTAAAAACCACTCATTTGGGGGCTCAGAGGTAGCATGTGCTTCCCAGGTGGAAAGCTCTGGGTTTGACCCCAGCACTGCAAAACATATTGAAAAAAATTTTCAATATTCACTTTTTTCCTGCTAATGTATTTATTCCTCTCCTACCAGCTTCTCTATTAAAGACTTAGAGTGGAAAAACTTTTTATAGTTATATTGAAAATAATAAGCCTGAAAAATGCTTTATAACTATAATGGATGCAGGTCTGTGTAGAAATTGTAGGTACTTATATTGTAACACTGCACTATCCTCCCGTTGTTTATCGATTTGCTCAAGCGGGCACCAGTAATGTCTCACAAAAAAATTGTGAGACTTATTGTTACTGTTTTTGGCATATTGAATATGTCACAGGGAGCTTGCCAGGCTTTGCCGTGCAGGCGAGATACTCTTGGTAGCTTGCCAGGCTCTCAGAGAGGGGCGGAGGAATCAAACCCTGGTCAGCTGCATGCAAGGCAGTTACTGCTATTTTTATGGTGATAGCTCTGTGCTTTTGCTTCCCCCTGTAGTAGTCACAGGGAATTTGTAGGATTATTCTTCTTATGTCATCTCTCTCTCCTTTTCTATGATTCTTAGTCCCAGTTATTGTAGTTTATCAATTGAAATAAAAACAAAAACAGAGAGGCTGGGATGTTATTCAGTGGTAAGTGTGCATCCCTTTATGTGTGAGACTCTCCATTTAGTCCCTGGCACTGAAAAAAAAATGGAAGCAAAGAACTTCCAAAACATTTCCAGGAACTATTCATCCTGTTAATACCGTTAATTCAGCATCATTTCATTTGCACTCAAGTGGGCTAGTCTGGCTTGTTTATGAGGATGACAAAAAAATAAATAAGTAACAGTGATAAAAATGAGACTCAAGTCACTGACTTTGAAGTCATCAATTCATCTGTTTTGGAAGTGCAGTGCTCCTGTGGAACAGGAGATGGAAGAATATCCATTGTGTGAGACAATGAGTCACTCTTGTTGAACTGGGAATTGGGAAGTGGAAAGGGAGCATAAATTTATTTATTTTTTACAAGAGTGTTTGAGTACCCTCCTGTGAACTGTTTAAAAGCACGGACTCCTACTTCAGATGCCGAGGCAAGGGCTTCCTTACTTGTAATGAAACCACCCATACATTTTCTCTGATACTCCCTCAGAGAGGGAGTCAGCTGAATTGGAAAAGTATCCAAGCTTTCAAAATAATGGCACTGATTTTTTAAAAGGATTTTACAAGGGGCTTAGATCTCTTATGGAAACAATTTTATTTTTCATATGGATGAGACTACACAGCCCCCCATCACAAAGAAACATTATTTTGTTCATTTTATTGCTGATAGTTTCACTTTGAGCTGCAAAGAATAAAAAAATGGTGATTACCGAAAACATCTCTTTTTCTTGGAGAAGTGAAGAAGAAAGCATATGAATACAGCTACTTTTGTTAGGGTTCTTTCATCTTTTTCCTATGTAGAAGTAAAATGGCTTTTTGAGCCATCTTCCATGAAAGGAACTTTTGAGAATGCCAGTTTGTGAATACCCCCTCCAACACCCCACCCCAGGTGACTTTTGTATTTTTTAGCACATAGTTAGGCTCTAATCATCAAGATTTCTCAAAAACTCCTGAGTTTGTGGCAAAGCATGGGAAAAGTACAGATTAGGAAAAATGAAAAATTGAACCTCAATTTTCAAGATATTTTTATCTGTTTTTTTTTTTTATTAAACTTCCAGCAGTCTTTGCGTCTGATATAAAATGAGAAGAAAGAGCGTCCATTACACAGAGCATTGGCCATCCATCTGTCCGTGTGTCTTAGGAGTCTGTGTCTATGCATTGGGTGCATAGAGAGGGAACAACACGTGCTGTTCCATTTCTCTCTCACACGTTGTCCAGGAATCAGTTTGGTTGGAAGTCACTTCCTCTGATAACTGCTTGTCAATTGACTGCTTGTCACTCATAGTTTGTGGGGTGAAATAGAAAATATGTACCGTTGGAGAGAGAGAGAGCCCAGATATCTGGCTCCTATGGGTCTTTCACTATAACATCAAGGAAATGTTATTTTCTGGGTAGTGATGTGGGGGAGGGTGAGAAAAGAACGGAAAGTGAAGACCCAGTACTCAGTTTACTCGTGACCTCAAAGAAAACACCAGCGGTTTTACTTTGTTCCTTCATTTCTGTACTTTTCTTTGAAATCGGATGATGATATTGTCTTCATCTTAAGGGGTTTCATTTGTGTGGTGCCAGGGCTCAAACCTAGGGTCTTAACATACGTGAGGTATGGGCTGGGCTATACTGCTGATCCACATCCCGACCCTTTTCTTAAGAAATTTGAAACATCACTGGGATGAGTGATTCTGACTACATTGGCCTTAGGGCTCACCCTAGAGATATATGATAGAAATGTCTTATGTTCTAATTCTATAAAAGGCTAAGTCAATGAATTTCTCAAGAAAATACGATCTTTTCTCCATCCCTCTTCATATATGTCTACACTACAGGCTAGGGAACCAAAAGCCAACACTGGACACCAATGGCCAAGGACTAATACCCTTTTC